TTCATAAAATAACCCATGTTGTATAAATGTTCATGGTAGAAAATAGCTTTATATGATGGTTGTTTAGTCTTATAATATTTTCACAAATGATGTAACATAAATTGACATGTTTTGAAGGTAAAAAATAGCAACATAATGTTTTATTTTATACTCTAGTAAATTACCTTATAAATAAAGTTCCACAGAGATCAAATTTCTCAAATAAAATGTGACATAATTTATGTTTTAACCACTTCTATATTAAGTATCATGGAGTGGGAAGTGTAAAAAAAGAAAAGAAAGAAAAAAACACCTAAGATCGTATAAAAACCGCACCATTTCACCCAACAACTTCAACTCACTCCTTACTTAATACCTCGAGAACATAAAAGAAATGAAGAATGAAGGAAGAAAAGCAGAAAAAATCCCCGAGTGTAATAAAAAGCTGTATAAATTTACAAGTAAAGGAAAAGAAAAGGAGAGAGAATAAAATAATAGAAGGAAAAAGGAAACGACTTTACCGCTTCTCATTCTTCATCTACCCCTCCTGTTGCCACACTGAAGCATACACAGGAGACCGAGATATATACAATATAATATTTAGAGGAAAGAAGAAAAATAACATCACAATATTACCCAACAGCTCAAGCATAAGTTGAAAGGAAAGCATAAAAAATATAAAATAATTCACCTCGTCATATCACAAAAGGAATGAAAATAAAAAGAACTCAAAAGCGCTATACTTGTGCTGTGTTGTCATCCTCACTCCATAATTTGTGTATTCTATTCTCTGTACTGAACACCAAAACCACCCACATAACAGTATGAAAATAAGATGAGGAAAAAAAAAATATTACGAAGGATCGGATTTTGTGATGTTGAATATTGTTTTCACACAGAAAAAGCGCACACAATTCGGTAAATTTTAAGTATGAGTATGATGATGATGACGACGACGACGATGAATCTGCTTTGCTATGATGTGATGTGTATATAAAATGAAATATCGCTATGAGCGAAGCTTCAAATAACAAAAACATCAACAATCCTCCGAAATATAAAAAAAAAGAATTTACCGCCCTCACATCACAAAATTGTGTATATCGCTGATGCTCAATTCAGTCTATCCTCCAACCCTCCGTTCGCTTTTTCCTCTTTATGTCATAGCTCATAGCTTCCTACTCTTCTATTCAGCATTCGACGAGCAGCAAAAAACCAAAATACTAAATAATAACATGAATCCCTTTCAATTCGAAAGCTCTATTTTTCCTCGTCGTTCCACAACACCACACTATATATTGCTGGATGAATGTTTGTTGTTGTTATTATTGCTGTTATTTGCTATACTTCAACTGTACTGCTGCTGCTGCTGTTGTGTATAAATAATATTGTGTGCTAGAGGACGCAAAAATGTGTTTTTCATCCTTCTACTCAAACCAGTGCTTGAAACTTTTTTTTTCCTATGTTGTTGCTGCTTTCTGTTTGTTATATCCCGCCGACACCGCCCAACATGCTTCGCTTTTTGCTTAAAATATACACACAAAAAAGAATATAACGGCATCGAATGTGGGAAACTGTGGAAAATAGGTAGCAATATAATTTTCTCTACTTCATGTCATGGCATGGCAAAAAAGGCTATGGTAAAAGTATATGGAAAGGAGAAGAAGAAGTGGAGAGACCGAGGGCGGGAAAATGATTCGAAATGAGTGGTATGAGAATGTTGAGTGAGTGAGAAAAAGAACCGAAGCAGATATACTAAAGTATGAGAACGGAATAATAATACAAAAAAAAATGTGTTGCGGGAGGAGGAAAAGGGCACGAATTTTTTTCTTTTCTTTTTTTTCCCATTTCAATTTTTTTTCCTTTCCCATCCTCCTTAACACATTTGTTTCAAAGCCATCATGAAACCGAAGCGCCCGAACATCAACAGAGTATACAACAACATGAAAAATAAAAAGAAGAGAGAGAGTAAAAAAAATATTGTTTGTTGGGGAATGTTATTATTCACATTATTCCATTTCGTTGCTGCTGCTTTTTCATGAAAGGAATTGTGGAATGAGTGGTTGGTGGATGGGGAGTAAATTGTAGGAAGTAAACTGTTTACAGAGAGCTTTTTATTCTTGGAGTGAGACATTTTTTTTTCTTTATGCTGTATTGTCGATGTGGATTTGTTGTTGTACATTTTTATTTCCATCTTTTTCACCAGCATTTTTTTTTGCTGCTACTCTTCTCCTCCCGCTTGTCTCATCTCATGAGAGTTTTGTGTATTTTATGTATGTATATATGTTTTTATGTGAATATAGAAGTATGTTTGGGGGTGGATGGATGGATATATGAAAGCAAATAATGTAAAGGAGGATGAGGAATATGATCAAACAGTGTGCTCAGCATATAGCTACAATTTTATTCTACAGCTATTATTGTTGCGATTTTTGCATTTTTTTTTTATTTCTGCTACATGAAATGAAAATGGAAAAAAATTCTTCTTCACTTCTTGTTGTCTCAAGCTTAACTTGAGTATTGCTTTGTAAATTCATTTTCTTCTTATTTTTCTTGCATTATACATGAATATGAATAAAAGATAAGAGTGTAATAAGCGAGAAAAATATCAGAAATATGTGGAACTTTGTAAGGACGGAAAAAGTTGTGCTAAATTTAGTCAGCTTTAAATGTACAACATCCAGTAAAATTTGAATATTTGACTGCAATCAAACATAAAGCAAAATGCAATTCGTTGAGACCAAAATTTTCTTCTTGATCCTAAAATTTCTTTCTCAATTAGAAAATTGTTGATCATTATTTTGTGGCTAAGAAAATTTCTTCTAGAAAATATTTCAAGGAAGATTAAATAAAACAATAAAGTGTCAGTGGCTTTTGAGGTTTTTTTGATTGCACAGAAATTAAATTAAATCTTTTTCGGGTTTTCATACCCCCCAAAAAAAAGAATCTCCTTCTTTTCGATTTCGATATCAACTTGTCGTTTATTTGAAAATGAATTTCATGCTGAAGTACTTAGTTCGTTTTGTGCAAGAAGAAAGGGAAGGAAAAGTGAAATAAAATAGAATAAAAACATGATTTTTTCTTCCTTCTCTGGTGCGACGACATTTCAAGGGGATTGATTTACAGAAAAAAGCATGTTGTTCATACACCCGAAGCTGTGAGTAAAGTTGAAAAGAATATTGAGAGAATGAGAGAAGTAGAAACAAGCAGCAGTAGTAAAGTGAGAGTTTATTTAAGGGAGAAATAACGGCGGGTTAGGGATTTTTATGGTTGTGCGCTTTTCTTTCTTTTTTTTGAATTCATTTTTTTCTTCTCTTTTTTTTCGCATTCAACATCATCACCCTCCAAAGCAATTTCTCTCATTCTCATTCCTACCCCTCTACATCCTATATTATATATATTCATCTACACGACGACGATGAAAATATTTTTTTTCCCTCATCGTCGTTTCTGTTGATGTTTCTCTCTTTCTGTGTGCTGTTTTTATTTCCATTTTTGCTGTTCAACCAGCTTGTGCTTTTGTGATTCTTTTTTTTTCGGGCGAAATCATTCACCAATTTTTATTCTCTCTCTCATTCGTGTACGAACAACGACCACAAAAAGTTGCTCGCTGTCGTTTATGCCGGGTGGTTGTTTAACGGCTCATATTTCTTTCTAGTTTACTTCTAGTCTACGAAAGCGGGAACGTTTCACTATAGGAATATAATACGATGAATTTAAAGTGAATAAGCATTTTGGATTAAACAATACATAAACGGATAAACAAATTTGTATCGGATAGCATGTGAATGAATAAAAAGAAAATATTTTTAAAGTGAATGTGAAGAAAATTATTTGTTTTTGTATCTTAATAGAAAAATAATTTAGAAATAAAAAAAAAAGTCAAAGGAATTTCTGTTTGTCGAGCACATAAAATAAAGTTTTCATTTCCTCATCAAGTTGAGTGTATGATGAGAGAATGTGTAGATCTAAAAAATGTTATATTAAATTAAGGATGTCGAGAGAGTAGAAAAAAATAAAGAAAAAAAAATCTTTCAACAAAAAAATAAAAGAAAGAAAAACTTTAGTTCTTCTTGTGGATAAATATTTTTTTCTTGTGTTGTTCGGTGGTGTGTTTAAGAAATAAGAGTAGAAAAAAAATCAGTACCATAAAAAGTTTTGTCGTCCTTCTTTCTTGCTTTATTTTTTTTTTATTTTACGGAGATGATAAATAAATGAAAAGTGGATAGATAGTTCGTTCAGTGTGTCTACAAGGCAAAAAGCACAAAGAAAAGTTTTTCTCATTCAAAAAAAAAGAAAAAAAAGAAGAAGTTCTTCTCGTGGCCAGAATATTAAGCTATATAAGGAAATGCTTTCTGTTGCCATCATACAAATTAGCTGAACGTTTATTAAAGAATATAATAATAATTTTTTCTTTCGTTGAATAATAAATAAGACGCACATACAAGAGCGCAAAAAAAAAGAATACAAGAAAGCGGAAAACAAATTTCCAGCAAAATGACAGCCAATTTAAAGGTAGAGAAGAAACACATTCTTTATTTTGGTTTGAACATTTCTCCGACGCTTCTGCTGCTTCTTCGTGCTTTTAATATTTTCCACACGTTCTTCGCCACGTTTCGATATACTTTCTTTCACTGTTGTTGTTTGCATTATTTGTAATTATAATAATTTGTGTTGTTTTATGCGATTTTCTCATGAAAATGTAATAAATGGAATTTTGATGGAATAATTTGCCTGCGGGTCGCGAGTTTATTTCCCTGTTCCTTTATTTATTCTTTCTGTTTTATTTTCATGCAATGATCCCGTAAACAATTTTTTACCGTCTTATATTCCAATTTTTTTATTATTTTTATTTATACAACAATGAATAAATGTAAATGCCGCAGAATCGTAACAAAAAAGTTAAATTGAATGTCTGTCATGTCCTCGTTTTCCATCACTTATGTTTTTATTTTTGACATATGACATTTGTAAATCAAAATTGACTACAACTCATGTTTACTCTTTTTATATCTTTACAGGGACCGCCTCCGCAAGGCCCAATAAAATTTACAATAGCAGACACATTAGAAAGGATTAAAGAAGAATTTAATTTTCTACAAGCACAATATCATTCGTAAGTATTAAACTACTGATTATTATCTTCATTACTTCTTTTCCTTGCGCCCCTGATCCTTTAAAATAATTGTTTTAAGAATGTTCTATTTTCTCTAAAACATCATCAATTACAACCAATTAGCAGTTTCATCTTAAATGAACCGGTACAAATTTATCATAATGAAAATTAAGTTACTAGAACTTCATGAGCGTACGTAAATGTACATATTTGAGTTTTAATTAATCAAATAATTATTCAAAACTGTGTAATTATTTACACAAAATTTTGATAACATATGATTAAAATTATCTCAAATTCTTTGCTGACTTGCTTGAATTTGTGTCACATAAATTATCACACTCGCTCATTCACTTCTCTTTCCCACAATTTTTCTTCCTCATAATATCATGTAGTATCATCACATTTCATTTCTCCACCTCATCACCATTCAGTAATAATATGCACATAGTCTTGACTCAACCAGTAAATGTCATGGATGGTAAAAATTTGTTGGCAATGTTCATGATAAAAGCGGAAGAAATAAAGTGAGTAAATGAGGAAGAGAATGTGGAAAAAGAGTAAAACATTCGTTTAATGAATATGAATAAAGAATAAGGCGTAGAATGAGCGAGAATAAGAAGCGCTTGTCAACAGAGTTGATATGATATGATTTACATCATCCATTCCATGCCACAGAACGTTGCTTCATGATGATGATGATGATAATGTTTGAAGATGATGTTGTAAAATATCTGCTATGTATATTGTATGTGGATTTAACATGTCTTGAATGATCTACGCATATATATGAGATATATATTGTAAACGAAAATGGTAAATGTAAACATTTAATATAAAATTAAGGTTTAATTATATACAACAAAATAAGGAATAATAATAATAGCAATCAAGGCACATATCATGTTCTTTCATGAGAAAAAAGATTACGTTTTACTCTTTCTTGCATCTTATCATGTTAATCAAAAAAGAAATAATAACAGCATTTTTTCTATCTTCTACATCAACTTTTATTCAAAGCTGACTGTTGCAATGAAATCATTTACGCTATGAATTTAATTTTCCAGGGCGTGAGTGTGAAATTGTAATGAGCAACGAGCCATTAAGCTCGTCACCCCTGCTGCTACTTTGCTTGCCTGCCCTCTCCTCACCAGTCGTCTTTATAGCGTGCTCAGTATACACACAAACGTTGTGTCTTTCCATCACCCATTTTACTACCCAAACCCAACAACAAAAACGAAGCATTCCTCATGATGAAATCAAAAAGAGCTCACAGTTCATTCTGTGCTGGTTTGGGAAAATTAAAGTGGAATGAGAATTGAATGATCTTGATAAGAAAAGTAAAAGAAAAGAAGAGGAAAAAACCACCTTTCTCACTCATATAACTTTTTGTGTGCTTTGTGCTGGCGCTGAACACTCATTTTCATTTCTTTGCTCCCTTTAGCTCGTTTCACTTCTTCTTTTTCTCCTTCTCTCACTTCGTTTTTCTTTATTGTGCTCTTTCAATCTTAATTAATTTGTATATGTAGTATTTTCTTCTTTTTCGACATGAAAAATAAGGCGAGGAATTTTATCGCTTACTTACTTGTTCATTCTCTCACTTACTCACTTTTCTCCCCTTCCTTTTCTTCTTATTATTTAATAAAATCACATTAATTGTGTATTCATACATACTTGGTAAAAGGTAGTATTTCGAAAAATCAAGCCAGTTTTAGTAACTTTCACGGCATGAAGTAAGTGAAGCGCATTTTAGCATAAGTTATTAATTGTGTGATTTTATTAAGACACCGTACCACTAAGATTCTTATATTCAATAAGTTGATTTTTGTAATTTTGTGCAAAAGCATTTTTTGTGTGATTCCAACATCAATTAAAAGACATGTGTGCAGCCAAAATTCTTAGTTTTCGTTTGCATAATAAACATACAGTAAATAAAATATGGAACAATTGAAGAATCAAATCACTATTTCATGGATGCGAGATGGCGAAGACAGCTATGCGATTTAAGAAAATTAGATAATGTGAGGCATTCGCAGTTATAAAATTATACTCATGTGGCGTACGGGTGGAAAAAATGAAGAAATGGGGAGAGAAAGAGTGAAAAGAGTGAAAAGATAGAAAATTTGAGATTGTAAAGTATGCAACATTGTTGTTATTATTCCTTCGTTGTTCCTCCTGTAGCATAGAATGTGTGTACGGGGAGAAGAAGAGGCAATGAATTGAATAAATGAATGGAATGGGTGTTGAGATGTAATCGCTTTGAGTTAAGGAATTTTAATAGCTTATAATGGTTATGTTAATGCGAAATGAAACATAATACACACATGTATGAAAAAGATATAAAAGAAGAAATGAGAAGAAAGAAATTAATAGAAGAACTTCTTCGTTGGATGTGTGTGAGAATGAACATATGGGAAATTCTAAGCGCATACTGAATAGGCTGTATGAATGGGCAAAAATTGTTTATTATTATTATTACCTCATACACTCTTCGTATGTATATTAATTTTTCTTCTCTCACCATACAAGATGATGATTATAATAGTAGTAATAGCAATAATAACATGCTATATGCCTCATGACTTTTAGTTTGTTTAATTGTTTTAATTACTTATTCACAAGTTAGACAAGTCAAGAAAGCGATTAGCAATGAATAATGATTTATGTGCTTTAATAATACTTTAATGAGATTATGATCCTATTGATTTAAAGTTCATTTTATTTTTAATTCTATCAGAACATGTGCTTCTTATTTTTTTAATTTTACAATTTCGAATTATCATCATTTCTCTTTCAATGATAATATTCTCGCGTCAATTAAGAAATTTCAAGGAGTTTGATGAATTATGGTGTTTCATTTCTTGCATGCCTTACAGATTTAGATATTTAATCATAGCAAATCAACAATGATGCCAGGTGTTAGAAAATAATTTATTTAAACGATTTCTTTTTAACTTATTTTTGAAGATCTGCTCTGTTGCAAATTGTCATATTATCGCTTCTAAATTATAATCATTAGGGTCGTTCACTGATTACATTAAAAGTCCCTCTTCTCCCTCTTTTTTCATTTTAATTGCACTTTATTGCATTTATTAACGACATACTGTCCGGTAATAATTCACATTTTACACTTTTGTGTTTTATATACATATGAATTAATATTATGTAGGATCAAACTTCTAATATCAAATCTAGGTTTTAAATAAACTAAGGCTCTCGTTTCGATCCTTCTGTGGGCGTAACTTGAAGCTTTTCAGGTCCTTTCTTACAATTTTCCATTCGTAGGTAATCTTGTAGCTCTCGTTTCTATTTCTCCCGCTACACTTCAAGTTCCTGACCCGTTCCTTAATCCAACGTTGCCCAATTATGGCTTGATCTCGTACATTAAGCAATCGAAGTATCTAAACTTCCGAAAAGGAACAAATTTGGAAATGACTGGATTCGAACCGACGACCTTCGAGTTACCATCTCAAATTTGAGCCAAGCGCCTTACCTATTCGACCAGCAAGGCACTTAACTGCTTAAAAATGTTAATATAGTGAAAAGTCTTGAAATTTCTTGATTTATTTTCATTCCAATTTGTTTATTATTATTTTCTCACTTCACACAACATCAACATCATACAATTTTTTTTAACAAGCAAATAATAAAAGTTTTCCATCTACTTAGTTTAGCAAATAAAACTTTTTCCATGCACAAACGCAACGAAATGTTGAAAAAAAAAATAAGAAGAATAAAAAATATTTTCCTATCCATGTTCCATGAAGTGTTAAAAGTATATGTCGCATTTTTTTCTTTCTGTTCTATAACTCGGTACATTATAATTTTTTATGAGAATATCATTTTATATGTGAAAAAGAAGAAGAATAAAGTTGAAAAGTTCTTTTTATTTTCTTACTATCGTCTTTCTCGTGAAACGTGAAAAAGAGAAGTTCATGCGCTGATAAAAATAAAAAGGAATAAAAATATTGTGAAAAGAATTTTCATTCTGTTGTGTATATAAATTTTTTTTATGGTGGTGGCATCTTGGCTGCTAGAAAGAGATTATGAATGGCACGTTTTCAATAAATTATTTTGCTGTTGGAAAAAGGAAGAAAAAAAATTTTTTGTCCTCTTTTCAACTTTTTTTCTTCTCATTTCATTCTTGCATTTATCTTTGGGGATAATAAATAAGCAGAAAAAAAGTGAGATAGAAAGAAAAGTTCTTGATCAAATTGGACTTTATGACTTTATTAGGATGCTTGCTGACTACCCATCCGGATTAATTTTCATCCCAAATTATGCGCTCTTCTATTTTTTTATGCTGTTCCTTCGCCTTTTGTGTTTATTATTCTGAGGGGTGGAAGGAAAAGAAATTTAAAGATTAAGTACTTTGGTGGGCGCAATTTATCATTATTCGTGCCCACTTGAGAACGATTATTGAATTTTTTGTTATATTTCTTTCCTTTTTAGTCACTTTATTAATATTTTCTTATTTAATCTTCTTTCTTTCAGACTTAAATTAGAATGTGAAAAATTAGCAAGCGAGAAAACAGAGATGCAGAGACATTATGTAATGGTAAGTGCCAACTTAGTGCAATTTATTATCTAATTTATTTGCGAGTGAGGAAGTTTAACATTATTTGAGTCAATCATAAAATTACTTCAAAAGTCATGAGCTAGAAATTATCCAGCAACTTATTAAATATAATTTAAATTAAACAAAGGAATTTAATTAAAAAAAATATATATTTGACTTTATTGTTAAGTCATTTAATCTTCCTGTTCATTTACTTGATCATCATAAAATACTCATTCATTTATTGTAAATAAGAATGAATGATGAATGCATATGAAATGATTCACAGCAATATAAAAAAGGGAATATAAAGGATTATCGTTCTAACAACAACATATACTATATGTAGAGGGAAAATAAAGCGGTGGAATGTTGATATTCATCGTATGTAAATATATGTTCATATAACATTTGGAATCATGCGCGCTAAAATATTATAAATATTTCACAAAATTTGCTTGTTTTACGAGTTTTCTCGTTTCGCACTGTTACTTTTTTTATATTTGATGATCTTGCTCATCCTACAATCATACAACATACATAATTTTCGAGAAAAAAAAACACTCACGATTTACTGTTTGTATCATTCTTTAAAATGAATGATATCGGTGGAGGTGTGAGAGTTATAGAATTATTTTTATTTCCTTCTCCCCTTCCACTATCTGTTCTACGCGGAAATAATAAAATTTATATTTACTTAAGAATAAAATGGTTGTGATATATGTATGCATGCATACATACATTTATTCATAGAAAACAAAAAAGGAAGATATGAGCATCAAAATGTAATTGCATTTGTGTTCATTGGATACATATTTGCATGCACAACTTCTGTCTCTTCTTTCCTTTATACATCTGTATATAGACTATTTGATATTACTGCTGTTAAATGTAGAACTGCATAGAACATGAAAAGTTAGATAGATAGAAAGATGAAAGCACATTGCATTTAGCCCAGAAGCGACATTGTGCAGTTGATTACTTTATAGTTCATTCATAGAGAAATAGGAAAATACCAGTAAAACCAACAACATTTCGTTGGGAAACTGTAGTTATACAATTTTCTATTCTTCACTTTCTTACTTTATGTTCATATATGCATCGATATGAGAAAGGAGGATGAGGAAACAGCAATAGTAGCAGCGACTAAATGTGCTTTGAATAATACTGAAAAGTAATCTCGATTTCTGCCATTCGGTTACCAATGATGATGCCTTGCTTTCAATGTTGTTGAATCCATACGCTTATGTATGTATAATGTTCGTATACTTTTTTGAGATAAATCTGCATTTAAACTAACAGTAAAGAATATTGAGATTCTCATGGAGAAACGGTGGCTTAGAATCGAAATGGAGTTTTGTGCACATATATGTGGTTTTGCTTATACTAGTGTGAAAGTGGAATAACAGAAGGCAATAGATGGTGCAATGGCATGTAAAATGCAATATAATGTGGAAATTGTGGCAAACCAAACAATACTCATACCCAAAATCTACCCTTTAGCCACTTTTCATATACACAATCCCAATACCAATGCTGCAATTCATCCACATTTTGCTTTCTGTTCAGGATTTTTATTTCTTTTGTGGAAAATTGGATTTTTCTGAATGTATCATTTTTTTTTCTTCTCTCAATTGTAGTTATCCTTACCAATATCAAGTCCTTAAATGATATAGATTTTAAGTTTTCTATTTGTATTCATTAAATTACAGCATATGATCATAATATAATGTACTCAATTTTCTAAAGTTTTATTTGACAATGACTCCACATCACTAACATGTTCATTAATTGGATGAATTGTTTCCATAAGAAATGCACTTATGGAATTGAAATATATTTACTATGAGAAATGATAATGAAGTGAATTCCCGTAACTCATAGTAAAAAGGGAAAAGTTTAAAAGTACTTTGCTCACTTAATTTTCGTACACAAATTTGTATTTAATACTCTATGGAGAAGTGCAGGAACAAAAAAAGGGGAGATATGTGGATGAGTAAGTGGCAACATAAAAGGAACATCTCTAAATGATTTTGCACCTCATACTACATGCAACAGTAATAACAATCAAATGCCTCATAACCCATACACAGATACGAAAAGCCACCCTCAATTTTCCACATTTTACAGTTGCTCGACATGAGAATCTGGTACAGCACAAATGCTATAAATGAGAGAAAGTGAGAGGAGTAGAAATTTTTTGAATAGAAATGAATAAAACCAAAATTATGTGAACACAAAAGGCAGAGCAAAAAAGCAGTTTGCAGAATTTCAATTGTTTTTGGAAGCATGATACACGTTAGAAAATTACTTTTGCCCGACATCCCCCAATTGTGTCTCTCTCATCCTTCAAAACAAGAAGTTTCTCAACATTTTACCACATAAAAATTTTCTATTGTACAATTTTTGTATAAATGCTTCCATAGTTTTGTCTTTGCTTCTGAGAGCTATTTTACTCTTCTTCTTATGCTCCTACTTCTTTCGTTATTTGAGGTGAATAGCATAATTATCTGATAACAACGTCAAATAGAATAAGTATGAGTTGGGAACGAACTTATCATTGAAATGTTGTCGAGAAGAGTTTCAAAGCCATTTTTGTGCTTTTATGCTTTCAAGCAAATTTCACAATGATATGATATGATATGGCAAGAGATTGAAAATTTCTACAATCTCCCTTCAAGCATACCCAGAAACCATAGGATTTTCCATGCAAGAATAAATTTCTTGTAAAATGTAAGCATCAAGTGTGTTCGCATACTATCCAAAAAAATTTTTCTAAACCTTTCCAACCACAAAGTTTTATTTTCGGGAACGGATGCTGTTACGAAGCTACAACTATTACCATTCCTACTGTTGATGCCATTTCTATCTCGTATTGGTTGATGTGGTGAATTCAAAGTTGATCATGAAAGCCAAGGTTTAGTTATTTTTGTTTTTATTTTTTGAAAAAGATATTAGATGCTTTGGGAGCATTTAAAAATGATGTAGCACAAATTTTGATTTTTTTGAATCCTTTAGGAACTTTCATGATTTAAAAATTATAGTCGTGCAAAAGTTTTTGTTACCTATTTAAACCATAAAAATTACGCATAGCTTTGTCTATTCATTCCAACAACAAAAAAATTATATTTGGGCAAGATCAAAAATGAATTGTTCGTGACGCTTAACAATAATTTACAATTTTTGAATCTATAATGCGAAATATGTATTTAAGACTTGTGTTTTTCTTAAAGTCCTTGCCAAGACCTATATTTTGGTGTATAACAAGCATCTCTTAGACATTGTATTATAATTAAAAATTAATTTAAAGTGCTAAGCGTCACGAACAATTTTGAGGAAATTCGATTTTACACCATGTTGCAAATGTAATATCTCTGCGAATACTTCATTAAACATAACGATTTTTTCACCAGATAATTAAGTAATTAGATCATTAAAAGTTTTGTCTAAAATATACAAAATGGCGGATTTGTAAGTTAGCTTAATTCAGCTTTAAAATGTTGAAGCTGAAATTTTGATATGAAGGAAATAGTTTAGGAACTATCTTTCTTTACAAAAAAGGTTACATATGTAATTTTCTTTAAGTCTGTGAGAGAAAATTTTCAATTTTACTATAATTAACCAAGTTATGATGAGTTTTACAAAACTAGTCATAAGTCATTGCTGTGTTATTCGTCTACTGATTTTTTCATTTCAAACTATAGAATTCAACAATGTTTATCATATTGCAAAAGAAATATTACTTTTTGTTCAAGACAAGCAGAGAAAATTAAATTATAGTAAAAAATTTGACCAAAAATTTTGTAACGGTTTTTAAAATTATAAATTTGTGGGCAAATAAGAGCAAAATTTGTTGCTCAACTTAAATTTCATTGTTTTTATAGTTAATTTAACTTACTTTTAAGCCTTCTTCGAATGTAAATTAAATAGTAAAAGACTCTTTAGGTATCAAGTAATTGTTCTTGACCGATTAAGGTTAATAGTTTTGATTTAAAAATACATTTTACATTCAATTTGGTTTTCAGTTAATTTAACTAAAATAACTCATTTTTAATAAAATCTATTTTGATCATATGATAGAAAAAAGCAAGCTCTACAACTTTTGTCAAGCTTCCAAACATTTATCTTGCTTTCTTTTCAAAGAAAAATCGATTTCAAATATTAATTTGTTAATTAAACTTACTTAATAAGTCGCCATTTTGAAAAATGAATGTTAAAAAGAAACTTACTATTATTAGCTATCATGTAGTGAAGGAATCTTATTAATTAAGTTATTAAAAGCAGAGAAATCTGAATTTGAATATTTATTCCCTTTTTTTCTGATCTTGCCCATTTAAATAAGTTTCATGGATCATGTTTCAAAAACTCTGTATAAACATTGCAAATTGATATCAATCGAATATCCTTCCACTTATTAGAATAGAGAAAGATTAATAGAATCGTTTCCAAATGTGTGATACATGCTCAAATATCTTGAATTTATGCAAATTTAAAAAGGCATCATATGTGTTTATTCTATGCTATATGGTACATGAAATTGTATGTGGTAAGGTTCATCATATAATATAAATACACTTTATTTTGTGTACATTTTAACTCTTCCCTCATACCTCGTTCTATTCAATTCTCATACTATAATTTCTATCTGTATAATTCTCAAAAACTCTCTGAATTTTCACATTTATGGCTGCATAAAGGTACAAGCATATACACACAATAAACTCGAAAATATGTTTATTTCTCCTAGGTATTAGGTAGATGAGCATCATGCTAACCTCCCCCCACAAAAAAACTTAGTTTTCTATTTTGTGGCATAAGTGGAAAATTGTGTGTATTATTTTCATTTTCTAAATTCTATCTCTATCTCTCATCATATACATAGTCACAACCACACACACACAATATTCATTTCCACAATATTTTGCCTTGTGAAAATGTTTGTTGCATAGCAAAATATTTTGAAATAATTTTGAGTTTCACTTTACTTCACAAATTTCTAC